CTGACTTGCCAGGGGGCCTGGGGCAAGTCATTTTTCATCTCTGTAGGCCTGTTCCCTCGCGTGTAAAATGGAGGTCAGTAACCCCCTCTTCATAGCCTCTGGGTCGGCCTGAGGCCTGTCTTTTGCAAGGTAGAGTTGGGAACAATAAGTAACATAGACAGAGTGCTTGTTCCTAGCTGGCCCTTACATGGTCATCTTCTTGGAATCCAGCTGCTAACCCAGCACCGGACACAGACCAATCAGATCCTGCTCTTGCCACTTATTCTGTGAATCCCTGGGCATACCATTAATCTTCCCTAATAAGTTTCCTGATCTGAAAAATGGGGCTGATTATAGCCCTACGGCATAGGGTTGGAATGAAGGGAGACTAGGTTAATAGATATTTACCCCTTAGCACACAGTTACCCTCAATAAAAGATAGCTATTATTATCATCTAGTGTTAGCTGTCCTTCCTCCTCAGGTGGCCACTTGAAGAGATGCTAAAGCCACTGCCCATTAAGGGGGGTTGCATGGAAGCCAGGGCTGCGAGGACACACTGCAGTCAAGAAGAGAGGCTCATGGGTGTCTGTCCTCTTTACCAGGGGATTCACTGGTGCCCCCTGAGGTGGACTTTGATAGGCTGCTGGCTAGCCTGAAGGATCTCAGTGAGCTGGTGGTAGACGATGACACCCAAGGGACGCCAATGCCCAGAGGAGCACAGCTCTGTGTCCTTGAGCCCATCCCACTGAAGCTGTACCGGAATGGCATCATGATGTTTGATGGGCCCTTCCGGCCGTTCCATGATCCCGCCACACAGGTAGGAGTGGAGGAGAGGGAAGACAGGCCTGAGTTGCTCTCCACTCTGTTCATCATTAATTGGAGGTGTTGGGAACCAGTCTACCTGCTATGGGCACTCAGACCCATGCAGGACTTGCAGAGCCCCCCACTTCCACCCCTGTCAAGTCCTGGGCCAGAGACTGATGCCCTGGGTAAGCCAGAGGCCCAGGGCCTGCCATCCAGAGAGGAAGTAGGGTGGGGGTCACCACCCAGGCCTGGCCAGTCGTTACCCTTCTTCTCCCTCCTGCAGCGCTGCCTCCGAGACATACTGGATGGCTTCTTCCCCTCAGAGCTCCAGCGCCTGTACCCTGATGGGGGCCCTTTTAAGGTGATGAGCTGCTCCTCAAACCAGTCAGGACTCCCTGTGTGGGGATTTTGCAGGGTGGTGGGGACAGCTTCCTCAGGCATCACTCAATCTGGGGCTTGAAGCAAGTGCCCCACCCCAGGGGATCCCAGTCTGATGACCTTCAGGAGGGTGAGCCTGAAGTCTGGCTGGGAAGGGAGGGGGTGACTAAGCAGCAGGCAGCGCCCCCTGCTGGCATCCTGAAGGCACAGCCCTCAGCTGTGGGACCACTGCCCCTCCCCTCCAGCATTTGAAACAACTTGACTGCCTGGGGTCCCTGAGGAGTCTACAAAGGTGACCTGGCTTCCCTTAAAGGCTCCTGGAGCCATCTGGTTGGGCTGGAAGGTAGTGCCATAGTGGGGGGGGGGGGCAGGAAGTGTTGGGACTAGAGGACAGAGATGGGGCTGGTCCCCTGTGGGTGTGTAGGATGAAGGGTGCTGTGATGGGAGCACAGGAGGCAGTGTCTCCCAGGGTGTTAGTTCCACAACGAAGGCGTGTGCCACCACGGCTTGAAAAATAGTGAGTGGTGACTGGGGGCCCATGCCAAGACGGGTCCAGGTGTGTCTTGATGGGGACAAGTGAGGTGGTGATGTGTAGAACAGTGGGGTCCGCACTGCAGCCCACACTAGGGCCTTGTCCTCTCTGAGTACCCTCATCCCTGTCTTCCCTGTGGGATCTTGAAAAGAGCTGTCTGAGGAGGACATCAGAACTGTGGCTTCAGTGCGGGCTGCTTGCAGGATGAGCAGGGCCCAGGTGTGCTCTCTTCTTGCTCTGTCCCAGGGCCCCAGTTTCATCACCTGTAAAGGGGATTTCATCAGACCATCCCGTGGGTCCATTCCTGGGGCTTGGGCAAGTAGGGGTGGGGGTGGAGCCAGGGCTGAAGAGCTGGGCCCACCGCTGTCTCCCTTCTTGCCAGGTGAGTGACCTGCGCAACCAGGTCTACCCAGAGAATAGGCTGGACCCATTTCCAGGCGAGGGCCGAGTGGTGGGCTGGCAGAGGATTCGAAAGCCCTCAGTGACAATGGAGCACCCAGGTGAGCTCGGCCATGAGGCTGAGCCAGGTGGCGGGGATGCTGTACAGGACAAGCTCCAGGTGGCCTCCTCCACCATCACTCACGGATACCCACCCTCCCCACCCAAGACTCTCGATGCCCTCCCCGCAGGCTCCAAGATGACTGCAGAGAAGTTTCTGAACAGGCTCCCCAAGTTTGTGATCCGTCAAGGCGAGGTGATTGACATCCGGGGCCCTATTCGAGACACCCTGCAGGTGAGGCCAGTCCTGGCTCCCCCAGTTTTCTTGGGGGCTTTACTATCAACCCTGGGCCAGCCTACCAGAGCAGTGGTTTGTGTGGAGGCCGACTCGGGGGTGCCCGAGGAGGGCCTGCATGGACAGTGGGTGTCATGGAGCTGTCCCACTGTCTCCTGGAAACTGGAGCTGTTGAGAGCTCTGGGCTGGGACCCAGAGAGCGGCTGGGTTGGCCAGGGTGTGGCTGTAAGGGGGGAAGTCAGAATCTTTTTAGGCCAGAAGTGGGCCCAAGGCCCAAGCCGCCCCCTCAAAGTCCAGACCAAAAATCCAGTTTGGCTCTGGAGATCGCTTCCTGGCCCTCACGGAGCTCGTCGTCCTTTCCTCACTCCTCCCACGTCTCCACTTGTGAAAGGTACCCAGCCTCCCTTTCCCAGCACTCTGCCCCCTTCGCCCCACATTGCCAAGTCTGTCTGACCTGTCCATGTCCAGAGCATCTGAATCCACCCCTTCTCTACATTCCCACCATCCTAGTCTAGGCTCCAGAATGTCTCTCCCCGGAAACTGCAGCACCCTACCAACAACCCTCCCCTAAGAAGCCTCTGCTCTTATTTTTATTTTTTTTCCATACCCCCCCATTCACAGTACAGACCAGGGCCTGAGCTGAGCTGTTCACTGGGTGCCTTTACTCTGCCTCTTCTTTCCGTAGTCAGTGTAGGAACATGGCCTGTGGTGAGCACTAGGAGGCCGACCTCCACTCTTAAAAATGTAAATTGGATCTTAGAGCTTTGTGGTTGAAACCTTCTAATAGAGGTTCTTGGTAAAGCTAAGCTCTTGACCCCAGCCACCACCCCCGACCTTTTCTTTCTTCCAGTCCAACTTGATTCCCAACTTGTCCCACAAACTGCTGACACTTTCCCAAATGTATCACCTCCTCTCTAACCTGGGGACCTTCGCCTGTACTGCCTCGAGTATCCCTGCCCCCATTCCATTTTTAAGGACTCTTCCTCTTCCTTCACTCACCGCTCAGGTGTCATTTCCCTAGGACGGTCTTCCCTGACCCTGGGCCAGGCATCCCACCTGGTCATCGTCAGTGTGGGGTTCTCTCTCCCCCACTAGACTTTGGAACCTCAAAGCTTCCCTTCCATTTCCTCTCCTTGAAACTCCTTTGCACAGAACACTCCCACCTCCCCTTAGACTCATTGGTTTCAGCAATCCCTGGTCAAGAACAAGCCCCCACTAAGGGTTGGGGTTGGGACATGACTCTGGCAGAATTCAGGGCTCTGTCCATGGTCTATTGATGCCTTTCAGAGCTGCTGCCCGTGGCCTGTCCCGGTCCAGGAGATTGTGGTGGAGACACCTGCCCTGGTTGCGGAGCATAAGAGGTGAGGGCAGAGCGGAGAGGTGAGGACCTGGGGGCTGGACCTTGGGGGCACCGACCACCTCTGGGCCCACAGGATCCAGGAGTCACCAGAGTTGCCTGCTCCCCGGCTCTCCATGCTGCGCATCAAGTCTGAGGATGGTGAGCAGGCCTTTCTGCTGCTGATGCGGCCCGAGGACACTGTCGGTGATGTACGTGATCTGCTTGCACAGGCCAGGTGGGTGTGAGGCCAGGCTGGCAGCTGCAGCGGGGCTCTGGTCCCAGGACCCAGACTGATCCATTCTGCCGGGTCCTCAGGGCCGTGGACGCAAACACCTTTGAGATCTTCTGTACGTTCCCGCCCACAGTCTACGACGATGACTCGCTCACGCTGCAGGCCGCAGGACTGGTGCCCAATGCAGTTCTGCTACTGCGTGCGCGCCGGGCTCTGCCACCTGCCCCCTGACTTCGACCCGGCCACCAATCCCAATAAAGCACCCGCCCCTAACCAGCTGCTGCTCAGAGAGGCTCCTCTGTGGGGCAGCCCAGCTGAGCTCCAGGGAAGGCTGGGGCCCAGCTGGGCCGGGGAGGGGGCGGTGCTGACCCGCCCTCTCTGTAACTTGAGCCCCAGCTGGCAGGCCTAGGCGCGGGGCTTTGTCTCCCAGGTTCCTCTTTCTCCACAGAAGGGTTAAGCCACTCCAGCAAAGGGAAGGCTGGCTCCAGCACTGGCTTAGCTGGGGCAGCAGAGCCTCATGGGCAAATGTGTAGCCAGCAGATCCCTGTGCACAGATATGCACAGAACCACAAACATGTGGAAAGCCTTCCTCGACACTGTGCACAAAGCCACTGTCCCCAAACTGGCAGAACTGCTGCTGTGTAGCAATTCCCATGACATGCCCACACTTAGCCAATCTGCTGGAACACAGGCAGGCAGCCACATGGCCCAGCCACATTACTGACAGACATGCAAATGTGCAGTACACACCAAGGCACAGATGTATCATCACATGCACGGGAACTGGAAGGGGACCCACCCACACTGTTTGCAGAAACCACTGGTCCACACAGATGTGTGCTGGACATATATCCAAACACATGCACTATCTCACACAAGTGCCACACAGGGGACGGCTCAACCGACCTGCCCACAGGAGCACAGCCTCAGCAGACTTACATCTACCAGCCTTGCTCACAGCAGGAACTCAGGATGTCTAGGCAACACCAAACAGACAAGGCGCCAATGGAATGGGACATTTAATCATCTGTAGGGTGCTCCCAGGTGGGGGACTGCGGGGCCTTTGGCAGGGCCCTGGCTAATGGAACCAACAAAGGTGCCCATCAGCCAGTGCCAGGCAGGGTGGCAGCCCCAGGGCCAGGCTGAGACAAGCCGGCACTTGGGCTGTTGTTTAAGACAATTTCTGAGACTACTGGGTAAGGAATGTTGCCTCTGAATCGAGGAGAGGGAAGAGGAGGATAGGCTTCAGTTGGAGAGCAGGGCTCCAAGGTCAGAAGGTTAGGAATAAAGGAGTTGGTCACAAGGTCCTTCATGGCCCACAATGGCTGGGGGCTGGGGGAATGTGGTGACGGAGTAGTTGGCCAGCTGGGGCTTGGCTCAGGCCAGTTTCAGGAACTCCTGCAGCGTGTTTTGTTCCACAGCCTCCACAAAGAGCTCATAGTCCTGGGGGAGGGGATGAGAGAGGGGCTCACCTGAGTGCTGGTGCTGTCTCAGGTCTGACTTCGGCCCGAATCCTTCTACCACACTCCCCCACCCCAACTCCCAGGCTCATACCCCACAGTATTGATCTCCGTTGACAATCTGGGGTGGGGTGGCCTTGGGATTGCCCGCCAAGGCTCGCATCTCATCCCGCAGGGCGTTGTCCTGGGAGATGTCCACTAGCTGGTACTGGATGCGCTTTCCATCTAGGATGCGGGTCACCTCGCTCTGCTGGGATTTGATCTGGGGGCAGGAGGAAGGCAGGGTTCGGTGAGCAGGCTGGAGGGCTTAGAGGGGAAACCCTGGGCAGACAGGGGCTGTGGCCAGGAGCTTTTGTTCCCCCACTGCTCCCTCTACACTGTGGGGGAGGGTTCTTGCTACTAGGACTTTTGAGGGTGAGTCAGGCTTGCAGGGGTGTGGGATGAGAGAGGGACCACCGACCAAGGGGAGGTAAGTCAGAGTAAAGGGAAGTGGGGTGAAGTTCAGGGTGGGTAGAGCCATAAGCTCATCCATGGCAAGGCAGAGCAGGCCTGAGTACGGGCCGGTAAGGGGCCATCCCGTTCCAGGTACACGCAGCGGAGAAGAGGAAGGGCAAGATAAGGAAGCAGTGTGGGGCATCCTGGTAGTGGGGGTGCAGAGAATGAGTGTCTGAGTGACACTGGATGGAGGTGGGCAGTTCCTGCTGGGGCTGCTGAAGCCCCAGGATGCCCAATGAAGGCGTTCAGGATGGGACCCAAACCCGGAGGCCGAGCCTCCCAGCCCCCGCCCCGCCCTCACCCTGGGGGCGGATCCGGGTGCCCACGCTTTCCCCCAGCGTGGGCCCCAGGCATGCACTCACTTCACGGGACCCGGTGACCGACGTGCTGTAGACGCGAAGTCCACTCATGCTGCGGGTGTAAGGACTGGCGGATGAGCGGAGGTAGCTGTAGCTGCACGGCCTGGAGACGACGCTGCCGCTCGCTCGGGGAGCGGTTTCCTTCCTGCTCAGCCCGCGAGTCACCGCTCTCGGGACCAATGGGCAGCGCGGGCAGGGGCGGGGCCGGGGCGAGGCTTGTGCTACCCGCCTCTCGCACCGCAGGTCCCCTCCATCCCCGCCAGGGCCCGGCTTTCTCCCTTCTCTCATCTGGGTTCAGTGTGAGACTGGAGAGGGACCCAAGGGCTGGAAAAGCCAGGAGGGCAGAGTTTGGCAACGTCCACCGCCACAGCTTCGCCCGGATTTGTTGTGCCCAACCACCCACCCTTGGTGCTGTAGAGCTCAGCTCCCGTCTTTGAATTTTGAAGGCTTTTTCCAGATCATCTAGCTCCAGCAGTCCCCCAGGGGACACCCACAAACGGCTGACCCTCTGGGATAGCACACCAAGGCAGGGACAACCCCTGCTTGAGAAATTCCCAATGTCCCTCTCCACTCTTGCAAACTTAGATCTTGCAAGCAAGGGTGGTGACAGGAGACAGGGCCACACCCTCAAAGAGCCAGATGGAGGCCAAGGTAAGAGGAGGCTGCTGGCTCTGGAAAGGGCGGAGGCAGAGGCTGGTGTCAGACTCCTTGTTAAAGATCCACAGCTGGTCTTGGGTTGGGTGTCCCCAGCCCAGCCCCAACTCCAGTTCACAGATGGCACTCTGAAATCACTCCTATTCCCAGCACAGATTCAGGGGTTTCAAGGGGAGTGTAGCAACCAGCCCAGTTTTGGAGACTGCTGTCTGTCTGGGGTTGGACATGACACCCCTCCAGAAGCCCCCCAGGGCCAGGGCTTGAAGAGTGCCCCAGGAACACAGCCCTGGCTCTTCGAGGCAATAGCGCCCTGCCTTGCTCCAGGGGAAGCCACTTCCTCGCAGCAACTCAGAGGCAGCTGACTTCCTCTTCACCCGTTACTGAAAACTCCAGAGGCGGCTTTTCTGTGACTCAGGGCAGCTCTGCCCCAACAGAAGGTTGTATGGGAAGAGACCTGATTTTCCTCACAGAACAACAGAGAAGTACAGACACAGACATGAGGCTGGTCCTGCCAAAGGTCCTCCTTGCTGTCTGGGGAACTTGGCTCAACTCCCAGGCTTTGGCTTCAACAAGCCAAAATAAGGGGTGGAGTAGGGGACAGTGGTGATGGAAGGCAACAGAAAACTGAGGAGTCTGTTAAATTTTTATTTTGTAATCAAAATAGGCAATACAAACCAGTTGACATAACAAGAGTTCATATAAATAACTGCTTATAAACTTTATGAGGAAAAATACCCGTGAGCATGGTGGCTGAGCTCCCAATACAGAGTGGAGAGACCAACCAGGCAGTTCTACTTTCAGGAGGCAGGAGCCCAGAGGCTGAGGGGATGGCTGGGTGGGACAGCTCTGAATGGAAGGGACAAGTCACTGCATAAATAAAACACAATTTGTAAAAACACTTAACGGGTCTCATTCAGGCCCAGCAGTAAGGTCTAGGATGTTTCCCGGACAGCCCAAAGCTCAGCAAGAGTTTCACGGTGGCTCCTGAACTGCCCAGTGCTCCCCATCCCTACACATGGCCTCCACCTGGCCTGGCTCCAGCTCTAGAGGAGGCCTGGGGCCAGCCCAGCAACCAGATACAAACATCTGTGGGATGCTCCCTCAACAGGAAGCAACAGAAAACAGAAAGCGGAGGGTCCAAAGGCCCTGGAGAAACACCCCCACCCCCACCCCAGAAAAACTGAAGTGCACCTTAAAACCTGTACTAGGCGCTCTGAACTCTTAAGGAGCCCAGATCCAGAAAGGGAACCCCGCCCACCCGACACAAAAGGCACGAATCAGGTTTGGGCATGGGCCCCCGCCCCAGGGTGAGCAGCTTGACAGTTGACCTGGGGCATCCTGGGGGGAAATCCTGCCTAAACCCAGAACCACAGAGGAGTTTGCACCCAAAGTCCAAGAAGGGGGCTACCTGGACGGACTGAGAACAAAGGAGAAGGGGGCTGCACTAAACATATGGCCAGGGCCCCAAGGCCTCAGGCAGCTGGAGTGGGGTCTCCCGTAAAATGGCATAGATGAAGGAGCCTATAATCCCTAGGACCCCAATTCTAGTAGGTACTTTGCTAATCAACAGATCACCCTGAGGTGTCTGTGAGGACAAGAGCCCTGAGGAAGAAGCAGTGGGACTGGGCCTAAGCAAACCGAGAAGCTAGCCCAGCTTCCAGGAAGGCTGACACATGAGGCTTGAGAATTCCCAAATGACCACTGTTACTGGTACTCAACCTTTCAAGGCCCTCTAATAAAATCTGCACATCAGCAGGACCAAGGTATGGAGTGGGAATGAATGTGGATCCACCCCAAAGGATGGAGAAGGGAGGTGAGAAGCCTGTTTGTCTTTGAGGTCAGTCTGAGGTTTGAAATAGTTTGTGAGGATTTACCAGGTGACCTGCAAAAGTTAAGCAGTAACTTACCCTCAAAGGGTGAATCAGGATGATAGGAAAAATGCAATTCAACAAGGCAAAGCAACAGAGCAGGCACAGTTCCCTAGGCAGCCCTTGGCCCCAGATGGAGGCTCTTACCTTCCTTCCACACTTTCTCTGGGAATAGCAGCACACAGGAGGCAAGAGACTGTCAGGGCAGGGCCTGCTAGACTGTGCTCTCAGCAGACCAGATCCTCCCTCGGGGAATACAACCTGTCCCACGCCCAGCATTCCTCACTGCGTGACACAGTTTTCTCCCATGTCCTGAGCATATCTATCTGACATGGTGGTCCTTAAATCCTCGATGTCATGGCGCAGCTGTTGAACCTCTTCTAGTTTCCTCCTGATTACATCCGGCTTCTGTAAATCTAGTGGAGTCCCTGGGTGCTGTGCAGCTGGGGAGAAGAGCATTTTGAGAGAATGTTAGTGAAAGGCCACTTTCAGGTGGAGGGGCGGTATGCACAGGCTGTACCTGGAGGCCCATGGTCTTGAGACATAGCATTTTAAAAATAGCAGCTGGAGACAGTGGGCTGAAAACTAGTTGCCCACTTTTTGCTTGTCCTGCACCCAGGTACCCCCAAAACATGCCTTTCTCAAAATAGACTTACAGAACATCTACTCTGCAAAACACACAAACTCTCAGAGGATAGTAATCAGGCCACCCGAAACTTGTTCACACACTGCCATAAGGATGGGGAGGTCGGATGAGGGTGAGAGGAGAAAGGTAGTCTCCTGGGTCCCAGCCTGGCCTGAGGACTCACAGTGAATGCCCAGGAGCAGGGAGAGATTGGGGTCATGGCCCTGGGCCCTCTGGGTCACAATGCTACAGACAGCCTGCAGATCTTGAAGACAACTGGCCAACTCCTGGTGCAGCTCAAATGCCAGCTGGGCTGTGTCTGGTGAAGATGGGGACCCTGGCTGAGCTTGGTGCAGGTATTCCTGAAGCGTCAGATTCTTTTCAATCAGGTCCTGGTTCTGTGCTGAAAGCTGAGAGGATAAATGGGCAAGAACATTAACCCAGGCCCAGGGAAAGACAGCGTATCTGTACCTGTGTGAATATATATGTATATTTGTGTATGAAGGAGAGGCTATGAGTCAGGTGATGTCACCCCTTACACCCCACTTCCAGTATCGGGCCTAGTTCCTCCTGTAGGAAGGCTGAGTCCACAGGGCTCCCGCACTGGAGAGGAAACCACTCGCCAGCAGACTCTGAGTCATCAGCCTCCAGGTTTCTGTTCAGGAACCAGAGAAGATACTCCCACCCCTCGGAACTCTATCTGAAGCCAGTCCCTCAGCCAACTCTGTTAGCCAGGCTATTAGAGAAGGCTTAACGTGAACTGTGAAATCTGAGGAGACACTGGTTTCAATCTCTCCCTGCCACCCTGACAAAAGTGGCCACCAGCCAGTCTGATCAGTGTGTCAGAGGAATAAAGGGAGCAGTAATGACAACATGACAGCTAGTGGCCACTGGGTGGGTGATGGGAGAAGCTGGGGACCCAGAGCAGATAGTGCTGGAATGTAGCCTTCCTGTCTGAACCTTGGCTCAGTGGAGATGGGCTTCGCTACATAGACCAGTTATTCACATACACCTGTGCCTCTTCCCCCTCACCCTGCACAGCTTAACCCACTCTCCTTCCCTCCCTACCTCTATCCTATTTTAAAGACACTGAAAAGACTTCCTCCTCTGGTCCCAGCCCTTTACCCACACTGGGACATGTGACGATCCTTGCTCTGGGGGACTCCCCAGAGGCGCTTGGCCAGTGCATTTGGTTGACCCTGATGACAGCTGTTTACTCCAGGAAGACCACCAAGCCCTCAGTATTCTTGAACCTTCCCAACCCCACAAATTTGTGGCTGCAGGAAGACAAAGGGAGAGAGAATGACTTCCCACATACAAAAAGCATTCATGGGTAATCATGGCCACTCTAAGCCAGGCATAGGACCTTTAATGCAAAGGATGATGCAATGTCCCTTCCTATTCCTCTGCCAAAAAAACCTCAGCAGGTACCTTTCAAACATGGCGGCTCATGTGGGAGTAGGGATGGGGAGTGAGCGCACACAGAGAAAGAGTACCAAGAGGCCCAGCTGGTGCTGCTCACCTCTTTCACAGCTGTGCGGAGCTGCTGCAGAGCTGTCTCCCTCCGCTGGGCCTCCTCTTTCAGGCCTTGGCTTGTTCCTTCTTCTTGAGCCACTTGCTGCTGTAGGCTCTAAATTCCATGGCAAGGAGTGGTGGGAGAACACACCAGGGTAACTAGTCTGGTTCAGAGCCTATCACCATGGCCCGGACTATATAGTAAAACCCTACCCTGCCCAAACACTGCTGCTATGAGTTTATTTTAGAATAGCTCTGACTGAAACCCTTTTATAGCCAGTGACCTTGTACAAAATAAGAAGCCAGGTCCTCAGGAAAGCATTCCAGGTCAGTCAGGCCCTTACCTACTTTTCAGCCATCTTTCTTTTTACCCTCCACACAATTTACACTCCAGCCACACGGAATGTCTAGTTGGCCTTCATCGTCAAAGGTTCTAGCTCCAAGATTGTTGCTCACTTCTCTTCCCCTTTCCCTAGACTCCTCCTCTGCTC